AATAAAGCTGACAAAGGTTTTGATCAAAAACTATGGATATCAAGTCAATATTTTCTATTTAAAAACTGCACACTTTGTAGATTGTCCTGGAAATTTCCGAATGGTTACTGGTAAATTTTTACTGTATAAGAGCTTTTGTTATATCAATTCAAATATAAATCGATCAGCAAGGATTTGTAATTACTTCAATTAGCTTCTTCTCTAATTTCTTAACCTGAAAATATTGGAATTCGAAATTTGTTGCACATTTCAATTCTCCCCGTTATTCCATTTCGTTCTTCCTATTTCTGACATTAATAAAGAAGCTCTGACATTTATTTTATTTTCGTCGCAAAGAAATTGTCACCTGAACAGGAAAATAATCAATTTTTAGAAATGCCGTGTCTACTGCAACTAAGATATGGCTGATCCTCGTTTGTGATTGAACTCCTGCCTTTTTTATGAAATTTAGTCAGTTAGTCAGAGAAACAATAAATCACATTCTTATTTTAAAATACATCATTTATCATGAATTGTTTTGTGGTACTATTTTTGATACTAGAAATTGAGAAATATCTAATTCACGAAGATTATTGTTATCCTGTTTAGAATGCTCTCATTTTCTTTCCATTAATGTTCAACAATTTTCATATGATACAATTTCATTTTGCAACGTACTTTCATAATAAAATTTCATAATAATCAAACAACACCATGTGGACTTCAAATGTTGATTACAACTAACCAATAATAAAATCGAATAAATGCCGAATACTCTGCAAGATTCTGTTGTTGAATTATCAGCATCATGAACAAATGCTGAGGGTCTAATTCTCAAAAGAGCTATCTCCTCTACTGTATTTGGTAGACGTAAAGTTGCTGCTTCTCTTTTGACAATATAGTTTAGTTGTTGAAAAATTATTTTAAGAAGATTTCCTTCCAAGAAATGTCAATAATTTTTGCCACAACGTTAGTCGGCATATTGATTTTTGTTTCCTGGCAATGGCACGCACATTTATTTCAGCTTTGAATATAACTTAAGCTAAACTCACAAGAAATTCGAGAGTTGCAATGGCTGAAAAATTTTCCATTGTTAAACATAATCACACGAGAACAGTGCAGTGTTGCAAAGAATGGGAAGAAAAACGAGCGCTAATTAAATATTTATGAATTATTCCACGATGAATCAAAGAAACTTATTCAGCAGACGAATTTCAATCTCTCATGCAAATTTTACGCTACTAATTATAATATTTGAAAAGCTTCTCGGTAACACTTCTGCACTCAAAAAACTGTAATGGATTTCGACGCACCATGTCAAAGCCATTTAAGAATTGATCTATTTTTTTGTCAAATATGCATCAAGCATTCCAACATATTTTACCCGAAGAATCTGCATGGATATTTATGCAAAGTAAACGTGAAACAAAAAAATACAAAGTCAGCGATAGAATTTGCATACGCAAATTATTTAGTTAATGCATTTCACTTTCCCTTTACTATTTCGAGTTAAGATATTAATTCAAGTTGTAACTAATTAATGACAATAAATAATTTGGCAGAAGTTTACGTTAGATGCAGTTCCGCTTCAGACATGAAATTAGTGCAAACCATTGACAGAAGTTCCTAGGAAAATTAAAACATTACAACATCCAAGATATTGTGTTGGAGTCTCGTTCTTGAATGAAAAAAGAGCAAATTGGTTTAGCATGTGCAAATTCAATTTTTCATGGTGCAATGTATGGACTAAGAAAAAAACACTAAAAATGAAGTTGCCTTCCTTTATTAAATTTAAAGAAATATTTTTTCAATGTATAAAAGATGGACCCTCCTTTCGTCTCTAACGATTAATTCTCTTTTGTTTTTTTTTCACAATTTTTGCTGAGGTATGGCAAACAACGAACTACAAACAGTTCAGTATTATCCAAAAAACAGCAAAGCTTTTTAGATGTTAGTTTAAAAACGGCAGAATAGCATTCAAATTTACTGATTTGACCAAAACAATGACACTAATTAGAAAATCCTAATTAGAAAATAATTTCGCTTTTTTCTTAAATAAAACATTCACTTTTGTAAAATTAATTTCTAAAAAAGCGATCAGAAAACCAGCCTTAGCTGCATCAAAAAATGCTTAAGAAACCAAGAGTATAAAATCCAAAGTACACAAAAAGTACTTGTGTTCTTAGAAGAGTTATTTTAATGACAAGTGATAAAATTTTTAAAATCTTTATGGGACTAAGCCTCTTTGAGCAAGATCCCTATTTCCGAAATGAGCCAATTTTTTTTTTGAAGTGGGAAGGGCATAAAAAATTTTTAAGTGGTCAATCAATCATTCTGATAATGACGAACCAATTTATATGAAAAAGTTAAAAATGTATCGAACATACGTTGAATTCATTGTGTGTTACAAGTTACTAACTATCAACGATGAATTATCAAGTGCTGCTAATCATTGATTATTTTAGAAAATCTAGAGTAACATAAATTATTTTCAATAATGTGATCTTTAACTTTTGAACTTACCTTCAGCTTTTAAAATTGTATGCACAAATGGAAAATAAAATCGCTAATCCGTGAACCGTGAACTGATGACAAATTGAAGTAATTATTTAGCGATTGGCATTATCAGAACTTTCCGGTTGCTACTACACTAAAAGTTTGAACAGCTCTCCGTTGAGATCACGATATTATCGATTGGTGATAATTAGTTTATGAAGATTGAACACGTCTTTATTTGAGTGAAGTTGTTTTCATCTGGTGATTGAGCATGTCTTTATCTTCAATTTTTTTTGGAAGAACGGCAGCATTAATTTCCGTTGTGTTCTTTCATCCATAAAATCTGAAATTCAAGCAATTGTACACATTTATAAAACTGCTTACTTTAATACTTAATCTAAAGAAGATTAAAATTAAAATATCGCACAATTTATTAATGTTAACTATGCCACGAAATTATATCATGAAAATTAATTTGTTAAATAACTCATTTGCAAATGAAAATAAAAAAATTTGGTAATGAATTCGGTATCTTATGCAAATTAGTTTCATTTAATTTAGCACATGAAGTTTCGACAAAAGTGCTTCTTATTTAAACATATATTAATAATTGAGAAAAACATAATTCCTGTAGAAACTAGAGAGTTAATTAAGCAATTATAAAATTTGGGTTTTTTTTTTTTCGGAGTTATTTAGAGATTATTTAAAATGAGTAAAAACTTTTTTATTTTTAAGTTTATAAACAAATAAGAAAACAAGCATTGGCGATTGCGATGAAAAATAAAGGAAATAGAACAATTTGAAATACATTATCATAAGAAATGATATGGTGGTAACGAGCTGCAAGTCCAGTTTTTCACCCATATAATTTTAAATTTAAATAATACATTTGTATCCTTCCTGAAGTAGACTTTTTTTAAGATTTGCTTTATATAATTGTGAACTCTTTTACACAGTAATCAGTCCAAAAATAAAACTGGACTTTTTTGTTTGTGTTTGTGATGTAGACTTAAAATCAATTTAAGAGCTTCCAAGAAATGAACTAAGCTCTATTAAATTATTGTAAAACTTAAAAAATATAAGTACGCAGTTAGAAATTTTAGGAATTAACTTGATAACCAATAAAATCTGTAAAGATGAAATGTTATAGATGCAAAAGACGAGCGCCTGGAAAGCGATTTCATTTATGCATATTTGTTCTCAGCTGGAAGCTGAACTGATCACTTTGATATTCCGCTATAAATGCTTTTTAGTGGCTTGCTGAGCATCGATAACATGTCTTCATCGTTAATCGACTAAAGGTTTTATCTTGAAAAAAAAAAAAAACTGGCTTCAATGAAACATAAATGGCAATATATAATCTGACATCTGATTGAATTAAAGTTTTAGAAACATATGGTAAATTCAAAATTAACTCAGTGGAAAAAAATCAAAAAAAAAAAAAAAAAAAGTAAAATGAATGAAATTAATTTCATTATGACAGAAAGCAAAAATTAATTGCACTAATAATTAATAGCACAATAAAGAAACGACACGTCACTTTTATACATACAAGGCTATCAAAATTTGGCAGTGAGATAAAATATTATAACTTTTGCTTAATTCCTACATTTAATTTTTAAATTCATACAAATACTTTGTTACCACTTACTATGATGTAAAATTCATTTGCATTTACCGTAAAAGTTTGCATCTGTTGATGTAACTCTTTTTTCCAGCATAGCATAACAATTGGCGCTTCACTAATAACAACTACTCATAAATAATATAATTTGAATATGTAAATCTGCAGTAATTACTGAATGGGCGAATACTGTAGTTGACAAAGCAGAAAGCCCGTCCACCTGGTGTTTAGTGCAAAGTACTGCTAGTCTTATGATTAGTTGAAGTATTTAGGGGTTTCTTTGTCGTCATACAGTAGTACTAATCCTCCATTCATCTTTCGATCCTTAGAAACACACTGATATGTACTGCTTAACAACTAGGATGGATATGTTATGAGAGAAAATTGCCACGCGGAATCATCAATTTACATACTCAGCAGTATTCTATTTTATAATCCTATAAATACATGATTAGACTGTTGTACCTAACTCATTTCAAACCACTTATTTGCTTCATAAAAAGTTGACTTTAAAGGTTTCTCTAATTTAAGCGAATTAATCACTACTTTCTACCTCACAACTTCGTTCTCAGAGAAATTCATTCCAGAATAATTAGAAATAAGAATAGAAAATCCTGAGGTTTCAATCCCCTGAAAAAGCAATATCGTATTTCTTGATTCCCACTCTGTCGCCTTGCATCGATCATAACTAGTCAACTAGTTCCATAATTGTAAAAAAAATTGCAAAAAGTTATATTAATGTAGTCCAACTATATTTCAAACGATACAGTTAGTTACTCATATTGATAATTAAGCATGAAAATTCTAAATATGAGAGGTTTCTTGCAATGCATATTTCTCGATTACTGATAAGAAAACTTTAACTTTAAGAAATTAAATAAATTGCTTTATTTTTATTCAAAGAATGACTGGAACAGATGTATTTCGGTTTTAAGATACAAAACCATGCATCTGGAAATGATTTTGTATCAGTAAACCGGAATCTATCCGTGACAAACTCACCACCAAAGAGAAAGCGAGACTGTCCATAAGGAATCTTTTATTTCTAGCTTTATTGTCGCAATTTAACTTAATAACGAGCACTGAAAAAGAAAAGCACGTAGCAACATGGGGCTATTTTTATGCTATTTATGCTATTTTTACAGTTTATCGTTTCTATTTTATAAATACACAGTGCCATTTAGCTTACAATGATTACTCTGTTTAATTGATGACTCCTAGACTCAACATGACTAATCAATATTAATGTTCCCGTAAAATTCTTAAAATTTCACTTTTCCTAATCATGTATACCTGCGGATAACGTCTAAATTACAACAGGAAGGTGTTGTGTCCGAATATTAACAAAGATAGAGGTGGAGTTTCTTTCCTTCATTCTTGTATTTTTTGTGGAATACGGTAGTTTATTATACAATCGACAGCTTTCAGTTGTTTATTTATTTAGTTCTATCATACATTCCATTAAATGTCTTAAAGCTTTACATTCATAATCAGTTCAAGTAGTACTGTAGTGGATGGACTAAGCTCATTAACTCTGAAAAAGAAATTGTAACGCTGCTAGAATTTACGGATTAAAAAAAATTTGAATGCGGTGGTGAAATGAGAAATTTGAAATCTTAGGACGACTTATTTCTAATCCACGAAATTGTGGACATTTTAGAATAAGTGATCAAATTCTTTAAAAAAAATTCTATCCAATGTAATCTGACAGTTCGTTCTATCACATTATGCTGAATAAAATTTTAGCTTCGTATGCTACTAAATTCGATTTTTTTAGATATTTAAATCGCTTTGAAGAACTGTTACACTACAAAAAATTCCAAAACTCTTTCACTCTTCTTCTCAAAGCCCATAATTAACATGAAAAAAGTTTTCGTCAATGTTCCTGCCCAATCATTAACAGAAAAATATAGCCTTTCTTCAAATATAATTATTGCTTTTTGTAGTTCTGTGGGAATGTTTCACTTCTTTCATTTCATTTAATTTTTGAGCAATTATCTAAAAAAAAATTAACTCTACTTGAAGTGGAAATCATACTTAATGTTAAGCATTCTGTTTATAATCTTAAACGCTATTATGGGTTAGTCATGCAACTTAATTAAATTACTTTAAAGTTAGTTGTGGATACCAAACTGAGAAAGCATTTTAATTATATACTAAACATTTTTGTTTTCATTCATTGAATATGGGGAATTAAAAATTAAGTGATATAGGAAGAATGTTTTTTATGTAGTAAAAAGAAAGGGTCAAAGTTGAAAACCTGCTCTAAAAATTATTTTGTTTCACCAGTGACGAAATTTATGTCTTCATGGAAACAAACCACAAATCCTTACTTCTTTATTCACAACTTCCTAGCATTTTTTAATTTGAATTTAATTTGTCACGATTTCTTATTATGATTTAAATTTTCATTTCTTTCGGACGACGCATGGATAAAGTGAAAATATTATACACTAATATGTCTGTTTTCAAGGAATGTAAACAGTCAATATTCTTGAAATGAATTGTACCATAAGCTTTTATTATATATATATATATATATATTTTTTTTTCATTCAAAAAGACCTGAGATATGAACAGAATCATTTTAAATGAAATAACTTCTGATAACTTCAAATTATTAGGACTAATAATTATGTCACCTGTATAAAAATCCGAATTTTCGACATAAATAAAATTTTTCAATTCTAAATTTGTCATTATGGTTACACTACTTAATAAAGCAGCAATTGAATATTTCAATAACCAAGTGCTAAATTACTGTCCATTTATTATTTTATAAATGTAAATTTATAAATGTCAATTGCAGCTATGCTTTTACCATTTAACTTCTACCTATGATATGACATCGACAAGATCAAAGTTGTCGGTTAACACAAAAAAATTTAATTACGCTCTAATGAACAGGGAACGACCAGTCGATAATATTATAGACACCTAGAAATTTTGAAAGATTTTTGTCAATTCAAGAACATCATTGTGATCATTTTATCACCTTCTCATCTTCATTCTTTTTGTCATTTCCTGATTGATATTTTCTCGCGACTCTTCTTTTATCGGTGTCTTAATGACACTATCGGTATATATCTGGGTACTACTTTCGGTACTACAGCATTCGTATCCGGAAAAACTCTTCAGGCTATTTTGGCTTATGGATGACTTTGGTAGAGTAGTTTTGGAAGGCTTTAAAAGTTTCATCATTTTTGCACCTTTTTTACTCGGTGTTGATAAGTGCACTGTTACTTGATTCTGACTTGTGCGATGTAATGATGATTGTGTTTTGTCTTCCCCAAGAATTTTCTCAGCTACCTTTGAAGATGGCGCCCTGAATCCACGATTCGTCGAAGAAAAGGGCGAAATCGATTTTCTACTTTGAGATGACGTTTTAGCCTGATGGCTACTTGGGCTTTTCACAGCACTTAGTTGTGTTTTGTCGATTATCATTCGGCTCTTTTGATCTTTAATACTGTACTGCGTTAAATCAACATATCCACTTTTATATTTTCTTCCCGCTTGATTTGTTCGTGAAATACTTCTTAAGTCTGCAATCCAATTTATCAACCTAAATTTTTAGTAATTTCTCAAAAATCTTAAATTTTATGATGAAAATAAGAAAACTTTTGATAGAGAAAATGGTCTACTGAGAAGCGGTCATAGAATTGTATTTTTTTATTTTTTTTTTTTAACTTTTTATGAATAGCCCAAATTTATTAAATTATTTTTTTTGTGATATTTTAGAAGGAATTGCTTTCATAAATTTTACACTTCTAACAAATTTATCTAATCTAAGCACTATGCGCAACTTATCTTCTTGTGTTCTTGACAATTTCTTGTCCTGAAAAATTTTTAAGCAATTAAAACCTTAATTAACTTTTTCATAGAATGGATGACCATGGGAACTACTTTGTAAATCAGTTTATTGTCGAACTTCCTGCAAAATTTTCATGCTGAGAAGTCAGATGCAATAAATCTGAATAAAATTAATTATGAAACTCTAACATAACTACCAAGATTCCAACAAAACTATATTTAGACAAAATGAACAACAACATGATAATAGAGAAATCGTTGCTTTATTTGTCTACTCGCATATGTTTCTTCATCTATATTTTTAAAAAGTCGTAAACAAAAATTATTACACGTAGGATTTACCTGTTTTATTCTGCTTACATCTTTTCCTATTATAGTTTGCCCAGTTCCGTTTAATTCTTCAATTAGTTTCTGAAATCGATCAACATTACCCCTTCTCAACTCATCAATTTTTTATTGAGAAAAGTAACAATAATTGGTTTTTGGTAATAATTTAAGAACCTATTAAATGGAAATTTTCGACAATCCTTCGGGAATATTGCAAAATATAAGAGAAAATATCGATCTATCACTGTAGCTGATCAAATTATGAAAAGTTCTCCAAGTTTAATTTTATTATAAAATGTATAACTGCTACAATTAGCAAAGTTAAGTTCTCTGTAGTAATTTGTGATCTGAGGTAGTTCGGCATATGCTTTAACTTCATAATAAAATTTTTTACCAACAAGCTAAAATTGAGCATTTGATCGCAAATAATTTAAGCGCTTTAAAAGACAAATAAACGATATTATTCAGATAAATAAAGCATTTTAGATAAATAAGAGCGATTAGTTATTGAAAGCATATAAAAGCAATTCTTGGAATTAAATTTTACCACAAAATTTGAATCAAATAGCTTTGCCTCCGGCTGGTTCATAACGGTGTTCATTTTCTTAAGCATTTTTAATTGTTTGCTAATTTCTTTTACTGTTTCATCAATGCTTCGTTCTTTTCTTACTTCTTTATGTCTTGATACTGCTTGCTTGAAATTAGTATATTTATTATTTTATTTTGACTAACCTAATCGCATTTCATTCATAAACGAGGGAGTTCGAATAACTCAATGCAGAAGAAAAGAAAAAAGAAATTCTGAACGGATCATTTCTGATTTTGAGTGAACCGGAATGAACGGTCATTATAGTACCTGAATTGATAACGTTTCAACAGGTTCAAAAATTGTTGGTTTATTCTCATAGTATTTCTTAACGAAAAAGGCATCGCATACGAATCTACGCACGGTTTCCTCGCATTCTTTGCGCTGATCATCAACCTAGATGAATCATTAAGTATTTCAGTTTAGTTTAGTTTGTCTGTTTTAATTTGTATAAAGTATACCTGTTGAGTGATATAATTAACACTATCCATGGTGACTTTCAGTCGCATCCCAAAACTTATCAAATTAGTTATAATGAAGAATATCAGTATGTCGAATAATGAATAAACAGCAGTGTCATACACTCTTTGCAACTGTAGCAGAAATTCTTTTGCTGATCGATAATTGCCCTCTGCAATATTCGCATTGAAAGCACATCGAAAGAAATGATAATGCTAACGGATCTTTTACGTTTATTGTCATTTGCATATATATTTAAAGATACATGTCAAAGATACATATAATATGAAATGAGAACTGAAATGAAAAAGAAACAATTAAGAAGTGACCAAGGCCTGCATTTTTAAGTCTAACACTTCGAAAAAAGAAAGAAATAGGACGATAGCCAATTTTAGGTATTTTTAATACAATTTTGATTAAGGAGCGTTGATAATCAGTAAATTTCACAACCGTGCTTTGCGTTCCTTTATATTAAAAAAAATCTTAGTCAACTTTATCATAGATATGGATTGGTAATTGGAGAGCGAAAAACGGATGAGCAGAAAAAGTTTTTCAGGAAATCCTAAAAAATGATATAATTACCGTTCCCAAGATGAACTGCAGCTATGATGATTGCGATAATCAAACCAGCATTTGCGATCACCAAACATACAACTTTTAATGATAGAATATAACAAGCACTCATCTTGTGGTATTTTTCTGAAATTTTTGTGTGAATAGAAATTTCGATTTTGCTTAAAGTCCCTGAAACCAACAAATTTTAACGATTTTTTAGAATGAATTCCATTTTTATGATATGATAAGGTAATAAGCAGTGGAATGATGAATAAGCTTTCTAACAATTTATGAATTAAATATTATGCAAATTTGCGGTTTACGACAAAGGAGTAGATGACTTTTTTTATTTTGTTATAGACAAGGATACCAGCAGGTGAACAACAAAAAAAAGTTAGGGTTTACTTATTAAAAGTTGCGGTGTCTTTCTTATCAAAAGTAATATCAATGGAAAATTCTCAAAGTATCCAATGAAACTGAGTATTGGTTATTGTATAACGATAAAATTTAAAAGAAAAAAAAAAACTGATTTCATGCAAATTAAATGCTAACAAAAATAAAGAGAAATCAAAAATTTTACCTCAGTTATGTTTTCAATGGAATCGCGTAACTGCTCAGAAATGAAGTCTATAATATAATATTTACAACTTAAAAATTTCCGAAATTCAATTCAGTTTAGTTTTCTACTCAACTAGTAAAAATTAATGCTAAATAGTTAGTGAAAAAAGTAAACGAATAAGTAAACACTGAAGTTACAGTTGAATAAAATGCCTAATTGATCAACTATGCGGTTGATATTTAATTCAATGATACAAATGATCAGTAATTCATTTTGTGATTTCAACTAAAAATGTTGGGTATCGAATCCAAATACTAAGACACACACTAGCATTATCAAAATAGATTTTTAATTTAAGGTTGAAAGTAATTCAAAACCATTAGTTTGGCTGTCTCTCACACAACTGTTTTTTGTTTCTTCCCACCGAATCTTTTCTTTAGTGGTTCTACTGATAAATATTTGTCTCATTTGCAGTCAAATAATCAATTTCTTCATTAATTATTTCTGTTAGCAGACATACCAATGAAAATAGGTATATACAAGTTTCTTCGGAAACTTCCAGATAACCTGAAACATTTCATTTCCAGTTTTAGTAAACTAAATAAATCGTGAATATACTTTGTTTGAAATAGTAGCTAAAAACTAAATAAATCTTGATAGAGCTGAACTTTTATTATGACAAGGAAATATGTTTCATAAAATAAGCTGAATTATTTTCAAACTACTTTTCACGAAAATTAAAAATAAATTAACGAATAAAGAAGGTTTTGTATTTTACGATTATTTCGCGTTCTGCTCACCACTTGTCTTTCTTACTGAATGAATCAATAAAGTGGGAAAGAGTCATTTAATGGATAAATATGTCATCCCTTCATTATCACTGTTTCATTTTTCGATGCAATGAAAGCACTGACAGATGCACTGCTTCTTGAAATGATTATTAATGGAATGAAAAGAAGTTCACTGATAAAATTTAAACGGAACTGAATTATGTTTTCTAATTAGGATAGAAATAAAATTAAATAGTAGAAGCGAAAATTTCTTATAAAGCCTTGCAAATAGGAAATAACATAACACATCATTTTTTTTCGGCTGTCATTCTGATCTCACAGCCGGTGAAATCCAATCCCTTTTGCTATTTAGAATTTGTTTGTAGCTAAAATTCCAAACTAAACTATTGTTAAAACTTCTAAGATATCTTAATCACCAAATTTTCGCTAATATGAGAAATATCAAGACTTATGCCTGAATAAAGTTATTATCAGTCCTTGTTTTAACAACATTATTAAGAATTGGATATTTTCGTTGCAGCCATTTATTAAATACTTACAAAAGTTGATTTGAAACCACAAAAAAATTCGCCATCTCTCTTTGACCTCTTTTTATTATTTTCACTTTAAACATAAAACTCTTTTTTTGAAGCCGATGAACAAGAGTGTTGGGGAAAAATGCAGAAACATTTTTCAAAATTTATGACTTTTGTAAAATTCTTTGCTAGTGAATCATTCTAATCTCTTGTCATCATTTTCAATAGCAGTTATTCACGTCTCATTTGAAAATAGTGAACTATCTTATCAAATATTCTTAAATATGTTGAGCTACTTTGAAAATCTAAGCCATAACAGTAGGATGTATAGCATAACTTAGCATTTAAAGTCTAATGCATACTCGGCTAAAATTTAAAATCAAGTCGCTTAGAATGATTTAGGGAAATTAATAAATACAAATAGTCATATTTAAAAGATATCAAAATATTTTTTATTCTATAGGCTTTATGTTTTTATTCTTTTCCATGCAATTGATTTATAAAACAAAGTACAATATTTCGTACAAGCTCTTTTTTAGAAAATTAGCATTGATAATATTTTATCATTTGAACAATTTAAATATCCAATATAACGATTGAACGATTTTTTGTTGTAAAGTAGCTGATAAATTTAAATATTTAAATGAAAAAGATTACCCGATGATAGCTAAATAAGACGGATAGAGAAACGGTAGAAGGGAAACAAATTATGAAATGACAATCCTGAAGGTAAGAAGACAGATGTGGACAGCTTGGCAAGGATAACTATGAATATATCAATTATTGCTGATAATTCTTCCTTCAGTAGTATCACCTTTGTCTGCTTCGTTGATTGTCATTTGCAGCTCTTTACTTCAGTTTCTGCCAATCATTTTTAATTTTAAATGAACAGAAATCTTTTTTATCTTTAGATCAATTCTGCTGATGATTGATATATAGATAATATTGTAATGGGTCAAATTCGGTTCATTTGATAAGTTATCAACTGAAGTGTATTCATAACGCAGAAAATTTTGTGAAATAATATTCATTTGAAATAGAAAATAATGTTTAAAACAAATTTTGAGCTTATTATATTAGTCAATTATATATGCAAAGTAGATTTGATCTCGATTAAAATTACCAAATATTTCGAGCAAAAACCGTCAGTTATAATCAAAATAATTTTGTCATATTTTCCATTGAAACTTTGCTCTGATTTCGGGTTTCCTGATCTGATTAAATTAAAATTTTATTAATGTTTCATCACTGCTTCAACAATTTACAGCATTGCTTTGTGATAAGTATATATGCAAATTTATTCATTTTTGAAAGTCTGCTCTAATTATTTATATGAATTTATATGATTATCTTTACACAATATACCTTTCCTTCATTCGTAAGTACCACATTCGAGGCTCGAGATAGAATTAGGAAAGAAGAACGAAGGTTGCATAGATTAAATTTTGTCTCTTAGTGAAATCCATATGATTTTTTAAGCTGACTGTATATAACCTGACTGTTCAGTAAATATCTTAGATGGCACTGCTTCACTAAACACTTTGAAGTTAAACATTCGAAAGAGATATGTTTTTTTTGCGATTAGAAGGATTACCAATTAATGCGTGGTGCAGTTTCGATAGCAGCAGGAGGTAAATACTGAGCAGACGACTATTTGCGCAACTTTTTTTAAGATATAAAATTAACTTTGGCGCTTATGAATTAATTTATTCCAACTTATTGTCTCCTATGGGTTGGATCGGAAGAGGAAAAGTGCTAATTATTGTCCGAATATGCCAAAATGTAATTGGGAACTGAAAGCGGCAAGATTTATGGCAAGCATAAGGAAGAGATAAAAAAGTGTTATCTAAAGTATTTTGAGAGCGCAATATCTGGCTACAGAAGAAGGAAGTAATAAAAATTTGTACTGCACTTAAAGTGGTCGGTTGATAAAATCTTAATGAAAATATTTATGGATTCACTGTTCTCTTCTTCGAGAAGAAGAAAATGAGGAAAGAAGAAAGCAGAGGACAGTGACTAACAGCAAAGTAGCCAATGATCTTTCTAAACCAATCTCTAGTGAGCATTGCCTACCTTACTGCATGTTATAACTATCAGTTCAGTCCACATCATCGATTTTAGTGACCATGTTACTTCTTTTGAAAGAGATTATTTCAAAAAAAACATTTCCAAATTTCAGGTTTAACCTTTTATTTCAACAGCTAAACATTAAGTTCACAACCGTTCCCACTTTCGGAACATAAAGTTGATACTTTGATAGTTTTCATTACTCAATCTTAATACTTGCAAATTTATGTTTTAAAGAATTTCTTCTCTGTGAAAGATAAAAAAGAATTTTGTTCACTCTCAACCATTTATTGTTACATAAACTTTTTAATTCTTCCTTTAATTTTTGCTTTTATCAGCACAGTTTAAATCTGCTAAATCTGTACACTGTTTTTAAAATTGCGATATTAATTGTTAAACAAGGAAGAGCTTGAAATAATAATTTTCAGTACTATTAAGCTTGCCAATAGAGTGACACCTGAGTGAAAATTGCATTTTGAAAATGGCAGTCGACATGTTTCAATATATTATATAATTGATCATATTGAAATAGACAGTGGAAGTGTTATATACGTTGAAACAAGTTTGCTTGGCTGGGCATTTGATTGGCATTGTTGGGGGACAGCACACGACAACTTGACGATCATTCGACGATGTTTTGGCGACCAAACCAGCACGACCTATGTCATGAGTACCTCTTTTCATTTCATACTTCAACGAACTTGATCAATTCCATCTGTCCTAACTAATTTATCAATCAACATTAGTTCTTATCCAGTGTCTCTCTTCTTATTCCATTACTTCCTCCTCATTGAAATTATTCATTTTTAACTACATTTCAGATAAGTTCCGGCGATTTATCACCTTCCATCTCTTCAAATCATAGCACTTATTTTAGAATTCCATAATTTACCTATTCACTACCAACAACGCATAAATTAAATTGTCTCTATGGATTCATTGTGCAATTTCGACTTTCTTCTTATCTTCTCTCCTTTCTTTGTACAGAAACAAATTCATCCTTTTTGACATTTACAATTTTAGTTTATAAGAAAGCAGTATCAATTTTAAGAAAATTTTCAAAAATTTTCTGCAAATTTTCTGAAATGAGAAAAGTTTATGGATAACGACTGGTTTTTTTGCTAGATTTTCTTTACATTTCTGAATTATTTCAGAAAATAAAATCCGTTTGCTTCTATTACAGATCATTTATCATAAT